CACCACATTGCTTCTCTTCCTCTCTTACCTGCCAGACTGTGTCCAGCCCCACACTAAACAATAACTGGCAAGCTAAACAATTATCACTGGGCTTCTCGCTGGGCTAGGTTAGAAGTTTAATCGTTTAACCTTTTACATCTCTAACTTGGACAGAGTAACCAGGTCTGCTCGTTTTCAGACTAGTGTTTTAGACCAGTGGTTCTCAACCTTTTATGGACTTGAGGCCCCCCTCACTTCCAACCCACAGCCCCCCACCCCATCAGGCCTGCCAGTGCCCCTAACAACCTACTAGCCCCAGCTCCCCAGTGTGTGTGGGGAAAGGGGGGTTATGTACCTCACCCCCAGATTTGTGTGTCCACAGTGGGCATGGGGTTACTGCCTGGCCGGACCAGGATGGGGAGAAGCTGCCTCCGTGGCCTAGTGGGCGGGACCAGGTGCAGGAGGGTGGGGGCAGCAAGAGTCATTGTTGCTGACACTTCCGGGACACCTATTCCAGTTGCACTGATAGCAGTGTGAGAAGTAATGGGTGAGTGGCCTGCGCTACCATCCTCTCCTTGTGCCACCAACTGCTCATGTGCCAGGCCACGGCTCTACCCCACTGCCATGACCAGGCTGCTGCTACCGCTGCTCCCCTCAGGTCACCTGTCCTGCCCCTGCCCCATGTCACCTCTGGGATAGAGTCGCAGCCCGAAGGGAGAGGTGGCAGTGGCAGCAGGTTAGAACTGTGGCCTGGTGTTCATGCGGCTGGGAGCAGGAGGAGGTGAGGGCAACGTGGTCCACCCCACGCCATCCATTACTTCTTATGCTACTAGCTGCTGGCATGGGGTCCTGCTGGGCTGTGGAGGTGGCTCCTGCACATGCTGGTCCAACCAGCTTGCAGCTCCATGCCTGCTGTTGCTGCACAAATCTAGGGAAGAGGGGAGGTCATGTGCCTCACCCCCCAATGCATTGCCACCCTCTGGTGACCTCCTGCTACTCCTCCCAGTTCCAAGCATTTTTAAAGTTTGTTTGTGACTCTTCCGTATCTTCTTGTGCGACCCACTTTTGGGTTGCAACCCATGGGTTGAGAAATGTTGCCTTAGACTGTTCCTTGCTGGACGATCTGCATTGGGTTTGAGGCACACTGGTGGCATAAAAAACTTTGCACTTGGCACTCTTTTCAGTTTTCTCATTTCAGTTCTGTTAATGTTCTGTTTATACACAGGTGTTAGTTCCATATTTACTCCAATGTAAGATGAGGCTTTTCTCCCCACTGCAGTCAGCATGGGGTAACAGCCCCTCATCTTATCTTTGCATACAAGGAGATCTAATTAAATATATTGTCTGTCATTAAGCTGCTACCAAAAGCAGCATGTGCTTAGTAATGGAAACCAACTATGAAGCTGATTAAATGCATTCAACACTTAGCATGACTATAAAACACATGGCCACATTGGACAAATATACTGATGAAACCTTTTTTTGTGTGTGTGTGGCCCTAATAACAGGAAGGCATTCCCTCTGCAGGGAACAGACACCAGGCCTGGAGGTACTATTATGTTGGCACCAGGAGGGCCAGAGCTAGCCTTGACACCTTCCATTTGGTGTTCAAAATGCTGCATTTGATATGCTATATTTTATTTTATTTTTTCGCAAAAGTAAATACATTAAGAAATATATTCTCCACCTCCAATACTCTGCCAAGGAGCTCGAGGAGCTCTTCCTGACCCAGGAAGTGCAAGGGCCAACCAGAGGTAATACTCTCAGATTTGGTCTTGGCCAAGGGAGATGGTCTGGTGTGTGACTTGAGTATTGAGGATAACCTGGGCGACAGTGACCATGAAATTATCTGGTTCACTGTCTGCTGCAGGGTCGACAAATCAACCAGTAGGATTGAAGTCCTGGACTTCAAAAATGCTAATTTCGACAGACTCAGAGGAGAGGCGATGTGGGACCGGGAAGGGAAGGCGAATGGGGTGTACAAAGAGTGGTTGTTGCTCAAGGATACGGTTCTCAAAGCACAAAAGAAAACTGTTCCTGCTAAGAGGAAAGGCAGCAGAAGGGCTGGTAAGCCCTCCTGGCTTAATAGGGACATTGTGGTCCTCTTAAAAAAGAAAAAAGAGATGTACGCTGGACATCAACAGTTTCCAAAATGTTGGAAACCAAACATGTCCAGTTTAGGTATCTATCTTAACCCTCTCTGGAATGTTTCTTGAGGACAACATTATTTAAAACGGATTGAACAAGGATAATAAGAAGTCCTTCTTTAGGCAGTAGGCAGTAGAAGGAAAACAAATGGAAGTGCAGGACCCCTGCTTAGCACCTTGGGACAGCTGGTAATTGATATTCAGGAAAAAGCAAAACTCCTGAATGCCCACTTTGCTTTTGTATTTCACTGGACCATGGGGAATGTCAAGTGAGATAAGGCTCATAGGGGACATGCCGGGACTGACAGCGTCCCCACTGTGGATGCTGAGTGGGTGTAATACCAGTTAGAAAAGCTAGACATAAGTCAGAGGGACCGGATGGACTCCATTTGAGAGTGTTGAAGAAGCTAGCTGAGGTCATCGCAGAACCCCTGGCAAAGCTCTTTCATAGACATCTGGGCTGGAAGGGACCCCGGAGGATCATCGAGTCCAGCCCCCTGACCGCGTCCCCACATTGGCGGCCCATGAAAATAACCCGTCCACCACCACTCTCTGGGTGCGGCCCTCCAGCCAGTTTGCGACCCATCTGACTGTGTAAGTGTCGGCACCACGGTCACCTAATTTTTTAATGAGAATAGGGTGAGAGACAGTGTCGAAGGCCTTCCTAAAGTCCAGAAAGACTTCGTCCACCACGACACCTGCATCCAAGGATTGTGACCTGGTCATAGAAGGCAACCAGGTTGGTCTGACAGGACCTGTCTCTAATGAACCTGTGTTGGTTGCCCCTAAGCATAACCTCCCCTGCTGGTCCCTTGCAGATGTGCTTCTGGATAATTTTCTCAAAGAGGTTTCCCAGGGCCGAGGTAAGACTAACAGGCCTATAGTTTTCTGGGTCCTCTTTCCTCCCTTTTTTGAAAATGGGGACCACATTGGCCCTTTTCCAGTTGTCAGGCACCTCACCAGAGCACCATGAGTGCTCGTAAAGCTGTGCCAGGGGTCCTACAATGACTTCTGCCAGTTCCCTCAGCACCCTGGGGTGGAGGTCGTCAGGACCTGCTGATTTGAACATGTCTAGTCCCACCAGAAATTCCCTGACTAGGTCCTCACTGACCCTGGGCCTGGCTGCGCCTCCCCTTGGTTCGTTCAGGATCCCAGTGGGCGGGATGTCCCTATCCCTGCTCAGAAAAATGGAAGCAAAGAATCTGTTAAAGAGGTTAGCTTTGTCGTCTGGTGCGACCACCAGATTTCCAGGTGTGTCCTGCAGAGGCCCCACATTACTCGGTACCTTCTTTTTACCCCCTATGTATTTGAAAAAGGACTTCTTGTTATCCTTGATCCGGGTTGCTAGTCCCAGTTCCATCTCTGCCTTAGCCTTCCTTACAGCTCCCCTACAATCTCGAGCAATGGAGGTATAATCCTCCTTGGTGATGGCCCCTCCCTTCCATTGGGTGTATGCCTCCTTTTTGGCTTTGAGACGTTCCTGGATGCATTTAGTGAGCCATGGTGGCTTTTGAGCACTCCCTCAATATGAATGGATTGAAGTGAGGTGTCGGGATCCCTTGCTGTCTGGTCAGGTGCCTATAGAGAGAACCGCTTTCCTGGTCAGGTTTCTGAAACCTGTCACCACCCGGAGGAACGCACGGACTTTCCCCCACACCTCTCTGGTGTATCAAAATTTGATATGCTGATAGGAATCTACCACAAGGATGGGTTAGTACAGCCCACATGAATAAGGTGTGTGGTAGTGCCCATTGTTCACAGTCACCCTCACTTCCACCTCTTTTTAAAGTTATTGTGAGCCACTACACTGAATACGTTTTTACTTCCTCTTTTCTCCCACAACTGAGCTGTGCCTTTCTTTCCGATTTTCAATGATTCCTGTTTCTTTACCAGCCTTAAATGTCTGGCAAACATCACCAAACAGGGACATAAACAGTTCACTCAGAATCCCTCTATTGTCCCTTTGCTCAGCCTGTCTCACATGATTAGTGTGGCCCTGCCCGCCATGAGGTAAAGCCAGACCAGGTTGCCCTGCATCTTATCTGCGCATACATTTTGGAGGGTCCTAGGGCCTGTGACAAGAACACCCGGTTTCAGCCATGAGTTGGGGTTAATTAGCACATGGATCCTTTATTGGAGTATCTGGAGTATACACACGTATTGAGCAGCGCGGAACTGTGGGGTCATCATGGTTTGAAACACTGACCCTGCTGGGCCCAGCCCAAAGAACTGTATGGCAAATCATGAACCTTTTGGCTTTGGACTAATATTACGCATAGTTTGCTCTATATAAAAGTAGATGCAAAAGTGCTGTTTAACAGTGTGTTCATGGAGTACCTGTGCTAAAACTTGCAGCAGTTTAAAAAAAGGCAAAATGTATCAATTTTGGATCAACTAAGCCTATGGATACTTTTAGTAATTCTATAATTTTTTTTTTTTACGGATATGTTAATTTTAAAGTTAGTGTTTTCAGATTTGCTCCTCTCTTCCATATACTCAGACATAGCAAAGTCTGATAGTAAGGAGGTTGGAAAGGGGCTGCAGGGGGAAGAATTTGCAGGGAGGGGAGGGGGGGCAGCGAGCTCAGATTTATTTTCCCTGCTGTAGGTAGTGGGAGGGGTGGACAGATTCAAGGGAAACCACCAATAATTTGATTTTATACCTGGAAATTTTTATCAAATTAGTATACTTTCCCTATATAGAATTGAATTATTCTGGATCATCTTATATTCAAGTAAATATGGTATTTTGATAATTTTTAACTAACAATAAATTTAGTACTAGGATATATTCCTAGACTCAATTTGAAGTGATTTTTAAAATCTTTGTTAGAAATATAGTGAATTGCTATTAATATTTTATTATTTTTTATAGAATTCAGGAGGAGCGTGATGAAAGACACAAAACAAAAGGTAGATTAAGTCGTTTTGAGCCACCTCAATCGGATTCAGATGGCCAGCGTCGTTCAAGTAAGTTGTTATTATTTTATCATGTTTTTTTGTTTTATAAAATCTGTAGACTAAATTGTGTATTCTTTTGTTTAGTGGATGCTCCTTCAAGAAGAAACAGATCATCTGGTGGTAATATAAATTCTTTTTTTTCATTTAGTAGAATATTGTCTTTTAAATTTCTACTTTGGATTATAATCTTTTTCTCCTCGTTATAGTGTTGGATGATTATGCACCAGGATCGCATGATGTTGGGGATCCAAGTACAACCAATTTGTACCTTGGAAACATTAATCCTCAGGTAATGTTGGATATAATCAGTTACTAAAAGCAACAGTTATATTGTATCTAGTTAGGCTCATAGGAAAGTAGGGCTAGACAGGACCTTATGAGGTCATCTAGTCCAGCCCCTTGTTCAAGGCAGGATCATCTCTGCCTAAACCATCCCAGCCCAGGGTCTGTCTAACCAGCTCTTGAAAATTTCCAAAGTTAGAGATTCAGCGACTTTTCTGGGTAGCCTGTTCCAGTGTTTGACAGCCCTCATAATCAGCCAAACTCTCAACCTGCATTTCCTCTGCTGAAGTCTGAGGCACTGGAATCCTCAGGTCCTTTTCTGTAGTACTGTATTTGTGCGTGCAGTTATTACATCCCAAGTGCAGGACTTTGCACTGGTCCTTGTTGAATTTCATCTCATTGATTGCAGACTACTTCTCTAGTCTATCCTTCAGTCTATCCTAGCTCTGCCCATCGGAGTGTTTGCAACTCCACATAATTGCATGTTATCTACAGATTTACTAAGCACGCACTCTCATGAATTAATTTTCATGAGTTTTCTGTATGGAGAAACTACTATTTAGGGGTGTAGGTTGTAGTCATGTTGGTTTAAGGACTACTGTTACATTCATTTCTCCTTCCCCCTGCTCCCACCCCTCTCTCGTTCATTGACTACCTCAATATTCATTTTCACTGACTGGCTTTCTTGCATACATACTAGCCTCTGCCTGCTTTACTATACTATTCCATCCAGGAAGAGCACAGACCAACTGCAGATGCTTCTTCAGCTTGACATAGGGTATCTGTACCCAAAAGCAAAGAAAAATGTTTCCAACTATTTGAGTTGGTCTAATAAAAGATATTAGATTTACCCAAAGAACCTGGTCATTATTATATTTACATATTCTCTACAAAGTTGTTGTATTTTAGGTTTCTGTTTACTTGTATAAATGCAGAAAAAGTCATTTAGAGAACCAAGCTGAGTTTATAAATTTCTGGAGGCAACCTTCATCAAAAGACCAGTCTTCTTGCCAGAAAAGCTGAACCCTGAGTGTTCTTTGGTTAGAATAGGGCAATGTACAGACATTCATTTTTCCACTGGGAGAATGTTCAGGCTTTTTCTCCTGGAGCAGAAATGTCCCCTTCAGGAGAAAAATAACCCTGGAAAAACCAGCATTAAATTGCTTCTGGGAGACTTTCTTCTAGGAGATGGAACATTTCTACATTTTCTTTTAGATTTAACTCCTGGAGATCAGGAGGAATCGAGCCAGGGGACAGGCTCCTGTGCCTTCTGGAAACGGGTCACTCCACTCATGAGAAGGCACAGGGGACAGCTCTTGCTCTCCCCTCCCCTTCCCTCCATGTAGACCAGGAGCTGAGGAAAGCAGCCACAGCTTCCTGCCTCTTCACCAAATCAGGCAGTTCCTGGTTTTGGGAAGAGGCAGGGGGCTGTACTGGCTCCTGTTAGCTTCCCCTTGTTGCCCAGCTGAGTGGTGGGTTGGTGATATAAGAGTTGGCTGTTAGGAGCAGGATTTGGGAGCCGTTCCACCACCTTGTTCTGCACTGCTCTGAGTCAGCTGCCACGGCCCTGAGACGAGGCTTGTGGAGTCTTACTGTAGTATCTGAGGGCTCTGCCTGCCTTCCCTGCGTTCTTGGTCAGCCCAGAACAGGGCAAGGAGTAGAGCTGTTCTCCTGCAGAGGGAAAACTGATAGGGTTTCCACCTTGGGAGAATTCCCCCTCCTACTCTCTGCAGGCAGAGTAGATGGTCGGCTATCAATTAATGGGCTCCTCTAAGGGCACGGGTGGTTCAAAGAGCAGCCCTCTAGTGCTTCCTGCCTAGAGAGTTTTCCTAAGAAGCTCTCCACCCATGTATCTCATGGAATGCCTTCCGGTAGAAATTAATGTCTGTATGAAGCCTAGGCCATTTGTATTTAAGAGAACATTCTTGTAGATTGATTTCTGTAAGAACTACTGCTCCCTTACTGTCCCTCCAGATATATTTGTAGTCCCCTGTTTCCCAGGGAATAGAGAGAAATAATATTTTAGCAGTTGGATACAATATGGTTAGGGGCCTTGTTAAAACTGAAGTTGCCTGCTAATTTTAGTTTTCTTTTTTTGTAGATGAATGAAGAGATGTTGTGCCAAGAATTTGGACGCTTTGGACCATTAGCAAGTGTTAAAATTATGTGGCCAAGAACTGATGAAGAAAGAGCGAGAGAGAGAAATTGTGGCTTTGTTGCCTTTATGAGCAGGAGAGATGCTGAACGAGCACTGAAGAATCTAAATGGTAAACAAGATTTTAAATTGCATTACTTTTATTGGGAGAGGCTTGTAATGTAAATTTTGGAGTTAAGTTTCTTTTGTTGAAGCAATGGAAAAAGGCATGTTTTAGGAAAAAAAATTTGAAAACCTGCCATATTTTATTTTTACTTGCTTGTACAACTTGACTAACTTTTAAATGGTGTTTCAGTCATAATAGCTTCCATTTCCTTGAGAGTGGAAACCAGTCTTCCATGTTGTAAAAGGTGATAAGGATACTATTATAGTATAAATAGTTACAGTAATTAATAAGGAATTGGCTAGGTTTGATACAGTAGTACTACATGAAGCACAGCCTATATTTCGAAATTCTGTTGATATAGTAACATCTACTGGGGGTAATATGTTTTATTTACTTATTTTTTAAAAATTATGTTTATACCAACAAAACACTAGTGTAGTCTAGATCTAATGTAACATGCATGAAAATTTGATCAATGTGATTTGAATCAAATTAATTTGATGAATTAGCCTTGATGTGTAAATATTGTACTGTAATGCTAGCAAGTTTAGGAGAGAAAAATCTGCCAAGTGAAGACCCAGTAACAAAAAGACTTGAGTGCTTTTATGTAACTAGATACATGAAGGGAAGACACTCTCATCAGTACATCATTTATTGTTGTTTTAAGTGTAGTTTAACAAATATATATGTAAATATATATTTTCACTTGTGAACTACAAAATTACTTGCTGTCATGAGTGGTCACTTAAAGTTTTAAAGTAACAGTGCATGTACAACAGTAAAAACATGTAATCTGAGTTTAGGCAGACACAGATTCAGTGGATGCAATATAGGAATGAAAAATAGTGACGAAAAATAAAAGTGAAAGGTAAGTTTTATAAACTGTATTTTTTTTTTTTTTACTTCTGCAGGCAAGATGATTATGTCTTTTGAAATGAAGCTAGGTTGGGGCAAAGCTGTACCTATTCCACCGCATCCAATATACATTCCACCTTCCATGATGGAGCATACTCTCCCACCACCTCCATCAGGACTGCCTTTTAATGCTCAGCCTCGGGAGAGATTGAAGAACCCTAATGCTCCAATGTTACCACCACCAAAAAACAAGGAGGATTTTGAGAAGGTAACTTAAGAATGTACGCTGGGCCAAATCTAAATTATAAATACAAAATCAATGATAGTCTTTTTTCAATGGCTTTAGAAAATTGCATTGTTCAGTTGGTTTTTCGCTGCCCTAAGATGTCTGAACTGAGTTGTTCCTTGCCTTAAACCAAGGGACCTTCTTTGTGAGACATTGTGTCAGTGTATTAGGTTGCAGTATATTGGGCTTTGTTTTTGTTTTTTTTTATTTATTCCTTTAAATCTGGCCATCATTTTTCCCCCTCCAGGCTCCCTGGGATTTTTTCTCCTACGTCCCCCACTTTGTTAGCTGCCAAACTTGCAGTGTCTAAATTATTTCCTCTAAAGAAAATGCTTAAGTTCGGTAGCTTCATTTGTACACTAGAATGAGCTGATACTTTTTCTACATAGAAGACTGGTAATTCATATATTGAATAATTTATTTGAGGATAATTGTGGAGTGAGAGTTCTCAGAGATTTTTTTTTTTTTTAAAGAACATTGGCTATGACTTTAAACTGAAGGGTAAGTATCTTTTAAACACAACCCAACTTGATATTACATTTGTAAGAAAAAATGTTGATTCTTTAATGAATGACACTTAAATGATAGGGTTATATTTTAGATGGCTTGGGAACAAAGTAATAAGAAGTTCCAAGTCAAATACTTTAGAATTTGTTTCGTACATTTAAAACTCCTTATTCTAATTATTCTCAGTGTAGTACCTATTCAGTGCATTGATGTACATTCTGATAGGAATGTTCTGATACTTTACAATTAGTGAACCTTCATTGTTCACTGAACACAACCATTTGCTTTTTGTGTACTTGCTTAGTTATAACTTCACAGCAGTGATTGCCTGCAAATCTTGTGATAGATGTGTAGTATTTTCAATGCATATGTATATTTTTGCTTGTTACTTGTTAACAATACTCACATATTCTATGTTTATTATCTGATGTGACTTCATATACAGACTCTGTCGCAAGCCATAGTCAAAGTGGTTATCCCAACAGAAAGGTACATGTTTTTCTTTATTATTACTCATCTAAATATAGAAAATATCCCCTTCGGAATTTTAAAGAAAAATTGTGATGTTGAGGAAAAGGTAATGGCTTGACTGAGCAATGGTTCTACCATATTCCTTATAGCAGAATTTAATTTGTTTCATAGCCCGTATTTTATATTTATCTCAGCATTTTTTGTTGGAGAAGAATAGAATAATATGATTACCAGTTGCAAATTGAATGCTAGTTATTTCATTAGTGAACCCTTATCCAAGGAAAGATTTAACCATCATGACAATTTGTTAACAACTGAATATTTTTAGAGCTGTAACATTGCTGTAACTAATGTGATATTGCTTTCTTCTTTGGATTACATAGATTAAACTCAAAACCCTGATTCAGTTGAGCATATAAACAAAACCAGCTTCAAATACTTTTTTATTTTCTCCTCCTTTTTTATTTATGTATTTATTTTAAATGCAGGTAGCGCAGCTGTCAGCTAGATATGTGATCACTGGGAAAGGGCTCTCATAGATCACAAACAGCAGTAAGAAGTAGTATTTTATTTTGACCTATAGAAGTGCCTCTATCTTCTCACTAATATAGGCATACCCTTGCTCAGTTAAGCTAAAACCTTTTTCCAAACATAAGAACACAACACTGTTATAAAATTAAATGAGCACGAAAGACTACCAAATTCTCTTTGACATTGGCCTTGGTGAGCAACACCAGCTGAACTGTCTGCGGCAGCGGGGGACCAGGAAAACATCATGGGATGGATTGGGAAAGTATACAGTTTTTGACCAGACATTGGTACGATCGGCTCCAATAAATGTGGTTTTGTTATAATTGAAAGACATTTTTTTTGTTGGCCAACTTAAGATAATTAACATTTTTAATAATGCACTTTAAACTCATCCTTTTGTACTACACTGTTTTAATTGTCATAAAATAGCCCCCTTTTTTGTAAAAAGGCATTTGTATAAGTAGCTTAAGGCAGTAGTATTGAACACTTTTTCTAGTATGCACAGATGCATCTGTAATTTTGATAGAATTTCAGGATGGTACAACTTTTTGCTGACTAGTGATGTGGGATAGCTATAGTGACCACCAGGAATTTACCTAGTAAGGTCTTTTGGTTAGTATAGCAAGTATTTCTTTTTTAAACTATGGAACGTCTATAGTTTGTAGCTTTCAAAGAAAGCTATGTTACCATTTAATTTATTGCAGCATTTTGAAAGTTCACACGCTATTTTTACCCTTCACATGAACTGAACTGTATTTGAAAATAGCTTTAAACATATTTTCTTCTTGCTGATAACTTACTTGTTGTAGTTTTAGCAAAATTGATGGGAAAGCACAGTATAGGGCAAATATTTAATATAGGTGCTTAATTGCAGTGATGCTATATAGTGATGTGTAAAATGTCTACAGAATCCAAGTACAAGAATATAAAATCTCTTTCCTTCCTGTTATTTTCTAGCAGCACTTATTTTTTAGTGCTACTTATTTTCTAGTTTAATAATTTTTTTCCTGTTTGTATAATCAGTATTTAAATAAACTAATTTTAAAGTATTCAGTGCTTGTGTAAGTGCTAAAATTGTTATGATCAGCTCTATCAGATGAGTGTAACAAGTTTGAGGGTGGTGGTGGGGGGGAGGGGGGTTGTATCCAGGCTTATTTCAAAACTTTATATCATCCTAAGAAAGATGCCTTTTGCTCAACCGCACTTTGTATCAGACTTGTTGGAGGCATTATTGAATGAAGTTCTATGGTTGCGGTATATAGGATGTTAGGCAAGAGGCTATCACTTTGTGCTAGACTTCAAATCTGTGAATTTATCAGCATCATTGTAATTTTACTGTACTGGTATTTTCAAATGCAGTTTGCACATACTTAAGTATTTCTTTCTACTTGGACTTCCAGAACACTGCACTAAATGAAATGGCTGCAGAATTATTTTGATTTGTCTTCTGCAGATGTTTCCAGGATTGTCAAAAAGGGTTTCTGTAAAACTGAGTTTTGGGAAGGACTTAAACTGAGTGATACTGTTGGTCTTTTCTATAATATTTGGAGGAAATGTAGTTTTAGTGCTAATATGCAATTTATATAGACTGTTTACAAATTATTAAGGCTATTGGGGCATATTCTGTTACTTGAGTCTTAAATTTCTTTTTATTAGTTTTTAGTTTTGTAGGAAAAAACAATCCAGTTAAGCACTTTTTATCTGTAACAGAACTTTGAATAGATAAGATGGTAAAAAAATAAAATAACCATCACCTAGTGATCATATATGCACTTTGTTATGTGGTTACAAATGATTTTTTTCCTGTATCTTTTATGAACAATTAAAAATAAATCTAAATGATAATGCATTCTGAGTTATAACTTGTTTTAAAATCATTAAAATAAAAATTTACAGTACATGTTCAAAGAGCCAATATCCTTTTGTTGTGTTTAGATAACTTATGGGGTAAAAGCTACACTTGTTTTGCTTGCATTACATGCTAAAATTGTAGGCCTCAAAGCTTTCATGTACTGTGTTGCTGTGAATGGTATTTGAAAATTTAGGATCCTCTTTTACAATGTAAAATCATTTTTGCCTGTAATATTAGTATATTCCACAGAAGGTCAATTAAAAATAACGAATATTTTCTGAGAATAAGTTAGTATTTGTTTTACCACTTGTTAAGTGGATCTACATTTTCAAATGCAATCCAAAACATTTTTCTGACATGCTTCTCTGAATGATGTGCAGAACAAAATTGGTGTAGCTTTTTTAATTTTTGGAAATGTCATTTGGTTTAAGTTTAGGTAGTTATAAAATGGAAGAAATTTTATCTGGTATGCTTTCGTAAATGATGTATGGTTTTGTTCCAATGGCATCCATTTTAAGGTTTGATCAAAAGGATGTTGCCTCTTCAGTGGCTTGCTTTAATAAAATCTCCATCTGGTTTCTGAGTTGGGAAACTTGATGCATGGTTTGCAACATCAGTTATTTTGGTTTTTGTTTTGCATTTATTTGGCAATAAAGCTGGATGGAGTTTCTATTAAATCTTTTTAAATGATCATGCGTGTTTTTAATTTTGAGCTCAGCGTTCATGTAGTTGATAGTGTGCAGAAGCTGGATTAATTTTTCGATACAACTGCACAAAATTAGTTTAGGGATTATTTTCTGTTAACTAACTTAGGCCACACTTTATGTTCATTTGCCCATTTTTCTTGATAAGTACTATTAAATTAGTTTTTATTAAGGCAAAACTCATGACTGTAAGTCAGCTTATTGAAATTTAGAAATAATATTTTCACTTAGAAAATGCACACTCCACCATAATCAGGCATGTTTTTATTTTATAATGCCTATATTCACAATGCAAGGCTATAACATTGCTCTGTTACCTTATCTTTTATACAGTTTTTTTTAACAGTACAGCAAAATAATCTCCTGCACAGATATAGTATTTTAGGTGAAGTGTAGTTTTTATAATGTTAGGTTTGAATCAATTTTTCTTTAACTGTGTTGTTGTTGTAGGAATTTGCTCGCATTGATTCATCGAATGATAGAGTTTGTGGTACGTGAAGGGCCTATGTTTGAAGCCATGATCATGAACAGAGAAATCAACAATCCAATGTTCAGGTGCTTTTTTTATCAATATATAACAACATAGAATCTAGTTGAGCTATTGCTAAGCATTATCTTTAAAAAAAAATGTAATGGCAGATGCTAAGTGAGTATTTTGAGTACATGGTCAAATTTTGAAAGTTAGAGAGTTTTAGAAGTTCTCCTTCAAGTACAAGCAGATGTATACAATTCATGTGGTACTGATACTGAAATTAATATTCATGTCATATAGACTAGTCCATTTAAAAATACTGTAATTCTATAGTAAAGCCAATCTGGTAAATCTATTTTTCAAATAATACACAGCTCCTTGTCATTTGAACAGCTCAAAAGTCATTGATAAAAATAGTAACAAATGAGAAAATATAAATTGGATAGCGTCCATAGGAGTTGAGTTGTTCCATTAACTTTAACAGAATTTGGATTAGATCCTGTTACACCTACTTGGAATTTCTGCTTCACAAGAATGGTTATTTTGAAATTTACTCTTGTTCCATTTGGAAAGGTCAACATTTCTGTGAAATACTTAGAAAACTAATTTTGGAGACACGAGTGACCTTACAAAATATTTATTTCAGTAAGGTTGAGGTGCTTCATTTCAACTATCATTTTGATTTTTATAATACAGGTAGTGAATGAAACTTGAAGCACAACAGCATTATCAAAACATTCCCATGAGTGGGGTTTTTGTCGAATCAGTTTGTTTTTTGGAAAAATTTCAGCAAGCTTTGACTATTTAGTGTACCACCTGAGTAACTGAGCCATGTGCTCATAGGCTGGGAAATTCCTCCTGCATAGCATCCATGTTAGAGTAGCTAGTCAGTAGTGTTATGTGGCCAGTTAGTCTGCATAGTTTCACCAGCTCAGCTACCAGAATTCTACTTTTCTGGTGCTCACGGAGTCCTCGTGGAACTTTAGTTTTCGTCACGCGCTTTCTGCATGTTGTGGGTTTCCTTCATCTGTTTCCTCCCAGCTGTACTAATGTTGTGGATGACCGTTATTTCACTTTTGCTGACTTTGTGTATGTCTGTTACTGTGTTCTCAGTGTGTTCTAGCAGAGGTGCTCCCAAGTGTGCCAACTGCTTTCCTTCCTCTCCTTTCTGCTAAGCAGGGACATTTGGCAGCGGACTGCTCTGGGGGACAATCCCCCATAGCAGGCAGCTCTTACCAGAAGCTGGTGTCTTGAGAGTGACTGTAGTAGGGAATATGTATGCAGCAGCTTCATACTGTTGCTTTTCCAGGTGTGGCTGGGATGATCAGGACCTTTTTAGGAGTAGCCTTTCAAGAAATGCCAAGAATGTGGGATAGATGTACTATGTTGCCCGCGTGATAGGCAGGAGTTGCATCTGAAAGGAATCAGCAGCTTTAGATCAAGGGTGTCAAACTTATGGGCCAAATCTAAACTGGTTTTCTGTGGGACAGATTCAGGTCCTCAGGCTTCCCACAGATCAAGTGACCCACAGGCAGTGGCCTAATTAATCCCCTGGCACCCAGAGCTGCTGTTTGCAGTGTAACTCTGGAACCCAGGAAATTAACACCTTTGCCACTCACCCCCTTTTCCCTGCCACCAATCTTAGTCACCAGGGGTGACTAGAAACACTGTTTTTTGGCAGCAGGTAAAGGGTGAGGGTAGACAAGTATCATGAACTCCCTTGGTTCTGGAAATGACAGCTCTGGCACCTGCAGGGATTGCCACAGTTGCAGAGGCTCCATCAGCCATGGTGATGAGCACCACTTACCGAATATGCTGTACAGAGGTGGGTGGTCCAGGCTACAAGAAATTCTGTGGGCCTGGATGACCCGTCTCCACAGGTTGTATGTTTGATACCTCTGCTTTAGATGATACATTTTCTATTGGGTTTCACATCTCTTAAATACTTCATAACATACTTTATTTTTTCTCTCCATCTCTGGCTTAGGTTTTTATTTGAAAACCAAACTCCAGCCCATGTTTACTACAGGTGGAAGCTTTATTCAATTCTACAGGCAAGTAACATTTTAGTGGCGGTTCACAGTTTTAAATATGAAATTCAGAAACACCAAATATGATATATTTTTGTTTTTGTTAGGGAGATGCTCCAACCAAATGGAGGACAGAAGATTTTCGTATGTTCAAAAATGGATCATTTTGGAGGCCGCCACCATTAAACCCATACCTGCATGGGATGTCTGAAGAGCAAGAAACTGAAGCATTTGTAGAGGAACCTAATAAGAAGGGTGCACTTAAGGAGGAGTAAGAGCTTTTACATTTTCAAATGGGTCTGTCTTGTGACTATTTTTTTGCAAACTTTACAATGTGTAAATCTTGACATGGTACAATATTTGTTGGAATGTTAAGTAGGAGCTCTCCTTTCAATTTTATTTCTTTTGTTCTTTTTTTTACTATAGTTTATGTGGAAGGGAATGCTCAGATTGTTCAGTTGGAAGTGTCTTGTATTTACAGGGAATTCGAGGGACGATTGTCACAAATTTTTTGCCTGGCTTTCTTTCTACTATCTGGCAGTGTAGTAGTATAATACTGCACTCTAGACTGGCATGTTTTGCTGGTTTCATGAGACTTTGGCTGCTTTGGATATCAGAAAAGAGCTAAATGTTAATGATGTCCGTGCTTACATATTTTATCAGCAAAATTTGGTTGGCCTAACTTCAGTAACTAGGGGAGTAGCTGTTTTATATTTAAATTTTTATATTTACTGATTCCACTGACCAAAAATTTAAAATAGGGAAGAGCTAGGCCTGTGCAAAGCGGCAAGTATTTGATTCGGATTTGGATTTGGATTTGGCGATTCGAGTCACTGTCCCAATCCGATTCTGCTGAATCGGATTCGAAGATTCGGCCATAGACTAAATAGGCAGCAGTCCTCTACCGCAACTGCCTTCAGCTGGTAAGTCTGTTGTGGTGGGCGGAGTGGGGAGGGAAGGGTTTTGGCAGGGGCAGATAAACGCCTGCACAGCGAGGGAAGGATTGGGGCTGGGGCTGGGACAAGCTGCCCAGCCATGGTGGGTGGTGTGGGACTCAGGGAGAGGGGTTCCTGCCACTGTGTGCCGTTGGTCCAGGAGCTGCTCTTCTGGTGGCTCCGCTGGCGACTTTTGCCGCCAGTCCAGGAGGGCATGGGAGTGGGCATGTGCCCCCAGATCTACACGGGGCAGGCTCAGTTGCCCAGTTGCACTCCAGGAGGCTAGCCCCAGCCGCCTGCTGCCGGGCTGTGCTCTGGGTGGTTAGCCTCAGCCACAGCCCAGAGCGCGCAGCCCTGGCTCTGCTCACCCTGCAGAGCACAGTGGAGCAGGAGCTATGTGGGGTGCATCCACCCTAAAATTCACCATAGCCCCTGGTGCTGGCCCTGCCCTGATCCAGGTGCATGTGTCCGGCCCCATGCCCTGTTGCTGCTGCTTGCACAGTGGTCCAGGAGCTGCTCTTCCAATGGCTCTTCTGGCGGCTCTCACCGCCAGTCTGGGAGGGCATGGGAGCGGGCCTGTGCCTTTGGATCTGCGTGGGGTGGGCTGGGCTGTGCTCCAGGAGGCTTGCCCCAGTTGCCCACCACCGGCCTGCACTCTGTGGGGCAGGTGGAGCCAGGGCTGTGCTCTGGGCAGCTAGCAGCCTGTTTGAGAGATGCGGTGAGGCTGGAGCAGCTTCTGCCACTGCCCGTTGCTTGTCTGAGGCAGTGCAGTGGCACTGTCCCATGCCTTCCCGCCCCTGCTGGGTGAGCAGCAGGAGGGCATAGCCCCCGCTTCCAGTGCCTTCTGCCCCCCGTCTAGAGCCCAGCCCAGCCCGCTCCTCGCAGATCCGGGGGCGCACACCTGTTTCCATGCCTTCCTGGACTCTAAGTCCCATGCCCCCCTGCCCCGGCTTGCCCCAGCCCCAATCCCTCCCTCGCTGTGGGGGCATTTGATCTGCCGTCCCCACCCCCCCCCGATGCTCCTTTCCTTGCCCCTCCGCCCACCACAGCAGACTTACCAGCTGGAGGCAGCTGTGTCCAGCGTGGTCGAGGACTGCTGCCTGTTTAGTCTATGGTTGAATCTCCCAACCGGCACTGAATCTCTCTGAATCGATTCAGAGGCTTCTGATTTGATTTGGGCCTTTTAATGGGTCTCCCAATTCTATTTGGATTCGTAGATTTGGCTGCTGAATCGGGCCTAATCTCCTCCGAATTGAATGAGCTACTGAAGCTTCGCACAGCCCTAGGAAGAGCTACTTATAGCCAGAAGGAAACAGTACAACAAATGTTCTGTTCTTCCACTTACCCTGTGATGACATGCTAATAACAAAAGTTGATGTGATCAAAGTGTTTTGGTACAAGACCAACTTTGTCAGTGAACTATTGAAATCAACCATGGTATTTCCAGTTCAGTTCAGAATAGAAACTTGAAAATAATTGTCTTACAAATCCATCTGACAAATGGATTCCCTGATTAGTATGCACAATGCAGAGTCACATGGCAAAGAATAGTTTTGTGTACTTGCTTGCATCCACAGCCTCTTAGATTGGAAGTCGCCAGCCTGATATCCTGTCACACAGATAATGTGTCAGGAATAGGTCTTTGAAGTCAGTGTAATAGAATTTACCTGAGTTTCCTTTTATAGATTCAGCTTCCATTTTTCTATCCTTGTTTTCTGTTCAGCAATATAACTACTGTAGCAAGTATAGTTTTAGAAATGGGTTATAACTGCAGGGAGATAAGAGAGATTACAGTGATCTGTGATCTGTTTTGCTGTTTAACTTCTTACAATTTAACTTTTTAAAAGGGGGTGAACAGATTTGGGCTTTTTGTCTGTTTGTTTTTAATCTGAGGTCTTACCTATATGAGGAAAAGCATGGAATAGCAATTCCTCACTATCCCCGTGTGTGTATGCTGACATGCTTACACTTGCATAAAGCCACACTTTGGAGTAAGTGTGTTCACATCAGTATTTGTTCTGCAGTGGTTATTTTCAATAGCTTCCCCAAGATTTCTCTACAAGCAGTAAATGTGTATCTTCTAAATACATATGCATCTTAGGCATTGCAAACCTACTACAATAAATTATAAAATTGTCATGGTTATTTTGGCCGTAAAAAAATGTAACCCACTACATGTTCAGTTAGGAATTTTTTGACAAAAGGGCTTCTAATTTATATGAAAACATGTTAAAACACTGTATGAAATTTTAGACAGAGGGACAAATTAGAGGAAATCCTGCGTGGATTAACGCCTCGTAAGAATGATATTGGGGATGCAATGGTTTTCTGTCTTAATAATGCTGAAGCTGCTGAAGAAATTGTAGACTGCATTACTGAGTCGCTGTCCATTCTGAAGACTCCTCTTCCCAAAAAGGTATGATCATTTGCCTTAATCATATTGCATATGTTTTTTGGGATTGCTTATGCACATATTGCAGGAAAAGTTGTTATTGCACAGATCATGGGCACATAGAAATGTTCAACTCTAGCAGTATAAAATGATTCATGGGGGAGGAAAAAGTACAGATGTTCAGTCTGCATCCCTCCCTCTCTCCTGCTCCTTTCACCTTGAGGCTGAAGCGATTCCAGCTTGGGGAAAGTGTGGGCTGCTTAATTTGTCCTATTCCCAGGGGAACTGCAACAGTGGGGCAAAGCCCCCTGCCTGCTTTTGATGCTGGGATTCCAGTGTGAGAACCAGGCAGGGGGCTTGTGGCGCTGCTCCCTCAGCTCAGCTCCTGCCAGACCTCGAAGGAGGGTAAGCAGCAGGAAAGTGTGACAGATGTTCAGTCTCTCAGGAGAAACTCTCCCAGGAACAATTTCTATCTTGTTATATTTAGGTTCTTTTTTTCCCAGAACAGCCATTTTTGCTGTGGGAGAAAAAGCTGGACTGTCTGCACTCTTGTGTTGCAGTGAAATATCTACTGTGCAGAAATCCTCTGCAGGGGATTCCTCTGGTGCAGGGAACCCCTGCATGAGTTTGTCCACTTGCAGGAGCATGCCCCAAGTTGGGGTGTAGCAGCTTGATGCAAGCACTGGGGAAGTCCCCTGCAGGGAGATTCCCAGGATGCACAATAAGCAAACAGAGGTCCTCACAAACTGTGACTACCTTTGGTAGCAGCAACATTTTTGGGCTCTTAGAACATAATAATGGGCTAGGATGTCTGTTTGCTTATAACTTTTGATGGCATAAAAATTCTTATGCCCACACAAGGGCAGTGTTTATTTGCACCTTAAGTTTCTTTAAAACTAGGACTTGACATTGATGATCCTTTTTTTTCTGCATTTGTAACCATTTTACTTAGTCTTACAATTTTTTTTTTTTTTTTTTTTTAAATCTTGAAACCGATTTCCATTCATTCCTAAACTAGCCTTTTGTACCTCCAAGTGTTAGCTTTTTTTTTTATCTTCATGGACAAATATGCAATTTCCAATACAGGAAGTGAAAATAAGAAATCTAAAATCTTTTCCTGATAAGAGTATGAAATTCATGTATGTACTGAAGATTTGATGACTTTTCTTACAAGACATTATTCAAAACACAGAAAAGAATACTAGTTACCTGCTAATGTGTAGGAAAAATACAGCTGCATCTTGCTAGCTTAATTGAAAATGGCAAAACATCTCTTGAATTTGTCTGTCTTTAACATTTATGCCAAGAGAGTACAGTATTATCACAATGCAACTTAAAGTAACTTGGTCTTAATTTGGACATTCTTTATTATAGATTGCAAGATTATACTTGGTATCAGATGTGTTATACAACTCTTCAGCTAAAGTTGCCAATGCTTCATATTATAGAAAATTGTAAGTATCAGCTTTTTAAATTATTGTCAATCAAAATAAAAGAATGTATTAATATTTAAAAAATGCATCCCATCTTAAAGAATCATAGAAAATCAGGGTTGGAAGGGACCTCAGGAGGTCATCTAGTCCAAAACCCTGCTCAAAGCAGGACCAGCCCCAACTAGATCACTCTAGCCACAGCTTTGCAAGGATGGAGCATCCATCACATATTTAGGTAACACGTTCCAGTGCTTCGCCATCCTCCTAGTGAGAGAGTTTTTTCTAATATCCAACTTAAACTTCCTTTGATTCAACTTGGGACCACTGCTCCTTGTTCTGTCATCTGCCACCACTGAGAACAATCTAGCTCCATCCTCTTTTGAACTTCCCTTCAGGTAGTTGAAGGCTTGTATTAAATCCCCTCTCAGTCTTCTCTTCTCTAGACCAAATAAGTCCTGTTCCCTCAGCCTCTCCTCAGAAGTCATGTGCCCCAGCCCCTGAACTATTTTCATTGCACTTTGCTGGATTCTCGCCAATTTGTCTACATCCTTTCTGTAGTGGGCCCCTCAAAACTGGACATTTCAGGTGTGGCCTCACCAGTGCAGAATAGAGGGGAATAATTACTTCCCTCAATCTGCTGGCAGCAGTGTTACTAATGCAGCCCAGTGTTCTGTTAGCTTTCTTGGGCAACAAGGGCACTCTGCTGACTTATATCCAGCTTATTGTTCACTGCAACTCCCAGATCCTTTTCTGCAGAGCTGCTGCTTAGCCAGTTGGTCTCAGGCCTGTAGCGGTACATGGGTTTCTTCTGTCCTAAGTGCAAAACTTTGCACTTATCCTTATTTAACCTTATTAGATTTCTTTCGACCCAATCCTCCAATTTGTTTAGGTCACTCTGAATCCTAGCCCTACCCTTCAGTAAATCTACTACTCCCCTCCAGCTTGGTGTCATCTGCAAACCTGCTTAGGGTGCAATACATCCCATCTTTGAGATTGTTAATGAAGATATTGAACAAAACCAGCCCCAGGACTGACCCCTGGGGCACTCCACTTGATACCAGCTGCCATTGAGATGTTGAGCCATTGATCACTACCTGTTGAGGCCAGCCAGTTTTCTAGCCACCGTACGGTCCATTCATTCAATTCATACTTCCTCAGCTTGCTTGCAAGAATGCTGTGGGAGACTGTATTCAGCAACCCTTGCTGAAATTCAAGGTATATCACGTCCAATGCATCCACAGAACCAGTCATCTCATAGAAAACCATCAGGTTGGTCAGGCATGACTTGCCCTTGGTGAATCCATGCTGACTGTTCCTAATCACCTTCTCCTCAAGTGCTTAGAAATGGATTTCTTGAGGTCCTGCTCCATGATTTTTCTGGGGACTGAGGTGAGGCTGACTGGGTCTGTAGTTCCCTGGATCCTCTTTCTTCCCTTTCTTAAAGATGGGCATTATATTTGCCCTTTGCCAGTTGGGCTTCTCCCCCACCCCCTCCTCAGTAGCCTCAAGTTTTCAAAGATAATGGCCAGTAGCTCTGCAGTTGCATCAGCCAAGTCCCTCAGGACCCTTGGATGCATTGAATGTGGCCCCATGGACTTGTACATGTCCAGCTTTTCTAAGTAGTCCCTATACTGTTCTTGCACCACTGTTGGCTGCTCACCTTATTCTGAAACTGCTGTCAGATGCAGTAGTCTGGGAACTGACTTTGCCTGTGAAGACTGAGGTGAAAAAGGCATTGAGCACTTCAGCCTTTTTTGCCTCCTCTGTCACTAGTTTGCCTCCCCCACGTAGTAAAGGACCTAGACTTCCCTAGATCTTCCTCTTGTTGCTGACATACTTGTAGAAACCCTTCTTGTTACCCTGCACGTCCCTTGCTAGCTGCAATTCCAGTTGTGCTTTGGCCTTCCTGATTTCATCCCTGTATGCCTGAGCAATATTCTTATACTCCTCCCTAGTCATCTGTCCAAACTTCCACTTCTTATAAGCTTCCTTTTTGTGTTTAAGCTAACCAAAGAGTTCTTGGTTAAATCATGCTGGTAGCCTGCCATATTGGCTATTTTTCCTGTACATTGGGATGGTTTGTTCCTGCATCCTCAGTAAGGTTTCTTTAAAATACAACCAGCGTTCCTGGACTCCTGGCGTTCCAGGGGATCCTGCCCATCAGTTCCCTGAGTGAGTCAAAGTCTGTAAACCTCCCTTATTTCAGTAACAGTACCATTGCAATTTCTGTACTATAATAGATGATATGCCCCCTTTCTTCCTTACCATCTTTTTTTAAGGATCATATATTCTTTTTTGCACGAGCTTTCTTTGACTTGGTTTTCAAAAGTGGATTTTAAGATCCTAGCATCCATTTTCAACAGTCTTGGCAATTTTCAGTTGTCTTTCCTTCACCAAATGTTGTTTCTTAAGCTGTATATAGATGTAACTTTAAACTTTAAAATGGGTTTGGAGAGTTGCTGCTTGAGAATGCACATGCATTACAGCTGGTACGCATGCTTCTGAATTGATACAATGGAGCTAAATCACTGTAAGTTGAACCCTTAAAGTTACAATGGCTTGCATTGGCATAGGAGCATCTGATAGCAATACAGTTATGTCTGTCATTACCCTTTGTTTTCAATTTGTACTTTTTTCTTTTTATAAATTCATTTTCATTAGCCGATTAAGTAGTTCCATGGAATTAGAAGTGATAACCTATGTCACAAGGAACGGATATTTACTGGCTTTGTAGGTGGTTTTACTGAACTTATTCCCAAATATACTATTGTAATAGCATAACAAGTAGCATTTGTAGACAGCAGTGGAATTTAAAATTTGAATTTGTCCTTTGAAAGTTTAGGGGATAATTTTGTTTCAGTGCAGAGGAAACTGTTAATAAAATTCCTTGTTGCAGCTCTAAATTGCATCACGGGGCTGAAAGCTAGGGAAAGTGGGGGGGGGCTGGGCTTGGGGACTCCTGGGTTCTCTATCCTGGGTAATTACAGGAGGTTGAAGGCTGCAGAAGTTATGGCATCCTTGCCATAGCATCATGGTTTAGAGTTTCTGAAGCTCTGCCTGCAGCAGCCCCTCACATAAGTCCTTAAGTCAAGCCTTTTATGGGAGCTTGATGGTGGCCCTTGTACTAAACTTTCAAAGAAAGCACTGTCTGGCTGGATATAGGGCTGTAAGAATGCTTTTTTTTGCTGCAGCCTTTTTAGAGCAGTCTGAAGGGACTAAAGGAGGAGTGAGTGAGGATCTCCATTTTAAATTTTCACGTATAATTGTCTTAGTTTTAAGTTCAATGCATGGCTTAACGTTTAGAGGTCTATAAGAAGACATATTTAAGATGCGATCCATTTAAAAGAACCATGTTTTAGAAATTATTGATGATATACTGCACTGGAGTGGCATTTGTCATGGTACAAAATTTAACTAAATGCGTGTGTTTTAATTCCAGTTTTGAAACAAAATTATGTCAGATATTCTCTGATCTCAATGCTACTTATCGTACAATACAAGGCCATTTGCAGTCTGAGAATTTCAAGGTATGTGTATCATTGTTTATGTGACACTTAAAAAGGTGAATTAGGAATATACTTCTTCACAAAAGCATGGGTAAATAACATGGCTAACACAAAAATCCCTTCTGAAATGGAACTGAATTTATACAGTTCCATTTCATTTCTTTATCACAAAGGCCCCTCCAGAAGTTATTTTTATTTTACTGCAAAATGTGCAGCACTACCAAAAATAAAGTGCTCTGGGTGGCTAGGCATTCAAAGCCCCTTAGCCTGAGGATGACAGAATTGATACAAAGGTGCACACTCCAGCCATGGGGCAGTAGGGTGCTACCCTGTAGTTCTCTCTTCCGCCCATCCCTAGGGAACTTCAAAGGGCTTGCAACCCATACATACTTAGTGACAGGTTTATGAGCCCATTAAATTCCTAGCTCCCAGGCAGCCTGAGAGCTGACTGAAATCTGTCAGGCAGCCCTACCTGGGTGGCAGGGGCTGATCAGGGATATCTGCCATGATCAGCCCCTGCTACCTCCATTTGCACTGGAGATGAGGGTGAAGGGGCTTCTTGTAACCAGTGGCAGAATCTGATGGGGCGACATAGGCCCTAACCCCCAAATCAGCCCCTGTTACAGGGAGACTCCTCACCCTTGCCACCTAACCCAGGGCTGTTTTGGGGCACACTGCAGGGTTGGGGGTAGCTCTGATTGCTCTTCTCTATTCCACAGGGATTGTTCTCCGTGGCTGCCTGACTGCTGGAACTTTAAAGGATGTTCCAGCAGCTCAACACGGGGAATCTAGGGATGTAAATATTGTTTAAAGAAGTATCCATTTAACCTGCTCTAATTATGTCTGTTAAGTGGTTAACAGATAACACAATAGCTCAGACATGACTGCTACAGAAAGCTGCTCCTGGGGCCTTTGGGAGGAGGAGGGGGAAGGGAGGGAGTGGAGTGGGAAGGGAGAGTCAGTGGCAAGCCCTGCCACTAAATGTGGGCAGCAGCAGGCAAGGAGCTTTCCCAGTCTGATGCAGCTGCTGGTGGTGCTGGGAGGAAAGAGCACCTGTGAAAGAGCAGCTAATTGATGAAGTGCTGAGTCATTAGGCTGCCTGGTGCTTTCCTGTTTACCCTCATAGGCCAGGGGGTACTAGTCCCCCTGGCCCCTTTCCCCTCCCCTCCTCCTTAGTCACTGCTCTGCTTCCCTTCCCCTCCCCGCTGGACTGTAATGCTAACTTTTCCCATTCCTTAGGGCAATCCATTCCTTAGTGCTGCAGCTGCCTGAGTTCACTTTACAGTTAGGGCTGCTCACCCACTGAAACTTTAAAGGTCACACAGTAGGCGGCTTCCTGGTGCTGGGCTACTCCAGATATTTTAAAGGGCATGTGGTAGCCAAGCGGTCCTCCTTAATAGACTGTGTTGGGTGTTTTCTCAGGGAGCCAGCTGCTGTCTTTCCCATTTATTTGGAAGTGGGGGGAGAAAGCAGAGTACTGTGCAACTTTTGGTGGGTAAAGATGTGACAAGATGCAAAATTTGTCCCAGCACTATGAAGAAGTTGATGTTTGAATTTGTAACTTTTGTTGCAAATCCTTTGCTTGTGGGGCAGATTGGAATCCACTTAACAGCAGATTGGCTATTATTTAAAAAATAGCTGCTTTGAATCTGTGCTGAAATTGTGACCTTTTTAAAAAAATGTTTAAAAGAAAAACAGTTTTAAAAGAAGTTTAGTAGTTGATAATTAGACTTTATTAAGCCCCGCAGCATGCTAATTTTCTATTTTAAAGCTAAATTCATTTCTAATTTTCACAAGGCACAGAAAACTATACAATACTTAATGTTTTTCCTGTTGAAAATATTTTATATGCCAAACGCATGTGTTCAGACTTTGTAAATTGTGATTCTGGTAGCAACCTGGCAGACAAGTTTGAGCACTTGGCTAATTTTTTAATAAATTGTATGTACTTAGAATAAAAATCAGTGTTTAAATGGAAATGATGGTACAGTATTAATTCAGTTATACAAATAACACATCTCTAATTACTTCTATCACATGTTGATACACTTTTCTATATTCTTGCACAAGGAACCAACATCTATTTTATTTGGTAAAGATGGTCATTTTGATAGAACTTTTGAGTAGAATGATTAATTTCCTTTGCTTTTGGAACTGGCTAGCAGAAAATGAAAGTAATGTAAGTTTAACCAGACATTAACAAAACCCAAATGAGGTAGAAAATAGTTCAGATCTGTTTTTAGGTCACTAGATATTCTGAACATAATGGCATCTTAATATGTACAAATAGAATTATTTAGCAATATCACTTTATCTCTAATATGTTTCTGATGATTTTAAATATTTTCTTATGAATTATACTAGTTTTTTTTTATCTGCTACTTTTAGCAACGGGTAATGACATGCTTCAGAGCATGGGAGGACTGGGCAATTTATCCAGAACCCTTTTTAATCAAACTGCAGAATATTTTCTTGGGGCTTGTAAATATCATAGAAGATAAAGAAGCTGAGGTAAGTGGTTGAATTAGTAAAGGTAACACAGTGGTGATGATGCTTCTTTAGGGGAAACGACAACAACAAAAAGCAACAAGGATTATATTAGTATCCTTAGTTGGGTGTGTGTGGCTGCTCATGACAGAGATAGTAATTTATGGATTTTGTCAAACCTGAGCTTTTGTCTAGGTATTCAGGTAGGAATTGAAAACTTTTTTTCCACATATCCCATAAAAGACACACACTCTGGCTTTCAAGTGTGGCTGTTCCTACCACCACTTGTCTTTTGTTACTTTTTACTTACTATAATGCACAATACATGAAGTTTCATACAGAAACTATTTAGAAACTGAAGCTAGCATAGAATGTGACAGGTCACTTACTTTCTATTGGATGTACTTTGTTATATTTGTCTGTGAATTTCCACGTGGCATTTTAGGTGTTGGTTTTGATTTTTTTCATGGCCTAGAAAACTTGGGGACTTCATTACCTGAACCACCTTTTTGACTCGCAATGCCATGTGTTGCTTGTAGAATTAATAAGTCATTTGAACTTTTTCAGTTGATATCAAAGGAAGGAGTTGGTAGATCATTCTCAGAAATGAAGTTTGTTAAATTTCCAGACTAGATGTGAAACATCTTTTTTTAACTTATTTTTGAGGAAGGCTTATGGAGGAATATGGATGTGTTGTTTGAATGGGATGTACAAACGATTTAAGGCATTATTTTGACATTGGGCACTCTCATGTTAGAATTCCCAAAGCATAGGGAAAATGTTTGTTGATGTTTTTACATCTGATTTATATATCCCATGTTGGGAAGGTCAGCTCACAGTAAACAGGAAAGTGTTAAGAGCAGTTTCTACTTTGTAGCACTGTAGTATTGAAAAAGAGGTAGGCAAATTACAATATAAATGGAAGGTAAATTTGTTTCCACTAAGCAGTAAAAAAACCCAAGAAAACATATAAGCCTGAAGAAAACGGGCACGCCTAATATATTAGAAAAGTTACTTACCAGCTGTTCATTTTGTGTGTTAACACCAGGAATGGTATTAACATTTGCCAGCTCCTGGACTTAAAAAACTCCTGTGAAATTTTTCAGTGTCTGTTAGGTGTACATTAAGTTTTGCTTCTGTGAATTCACGCAAGTGGCTCACTTGAAGCAGTGTGTGATTTGTATGTACCATTTTTTTGTATAATCAATCTCTTAAAACTCCAGATAATTTGCTGAGAAATTACAGGCTATTGCTTATAATTGTTGTGTAAGAGAGAAGGTGGCAATTTCTTTCACTGAAAATTATGTAAGAAGCAAAAATCAAACTGAAATGCTGCCCTGACTTTTGTATGGTTGGGACTGTTTTGCTTTGTATTTCAAAGGTTTGATGCTTTTCTATCTATTTAAAGCAAACAAATTTGTTTTATGAAGTGAAGTAATTGGAAGAGAAATTAAAGAAAATAACCTAGCACACTAGCTGAAGGGATTTCAGGTTTTATTTTGTCTCCAGGAAGTACCAGATGATCTTGATGGTGCCCCCATTGAGGAAGAGCTTGATGGTGCACCACTGGAAGATGTAGATGGAATTCCTATTGATGCTGCTCCCATTGATGATCTTGATGGTGTCCCTATTAAATCCCTTGATGATGACCTTGATGGTGTACCTTGTAAGAAATGGTTTAGTTTTGATTTTGGAATTCTTTACATTTCCTAATGTAATGCACATGAAATATCCTATATTGCTAACTTCAGTAATCACAAGAGTTGTTTTTGGAATAGCAGCAAGAAGACAACATTAAGCAAGATAGATGGAAACTTAAATTAATCAATAATTGTATGCAAAGTACAAGAATGAATTTAGAATGTAATTCTGATTGTCAAGTCTTGGGGGACAAGGGCAATGTCTTTCTCTGCATTTACCTACTATAGTTGAGCCATGGCCTTTGTCCCTTTTGTACCAGCAGTACAAATAGCAAGATCACAAGCCTTTAATTTTTTTGATTACCATGTAAGTTCCCCAATATAAGTAAGAATTAAAGACTTACTGGAGAATTTTCAACAATGATTTTTCTTAGTGTTTTTTCCCTCAATAGTGGATACTTCTGAAGATTCTAAAAAAAATGAGCCTATATTTAAGGTTGCCCCTTCAAAATGGGAAGCAGTGGATGAATCGGAATTAGAAGCTCAAGGTTAGTTTGAAGTAATATCTTAATTTTAAAGGCACTCTTCTAAATAAACTGGAATGGTGATGTTTTCCTTCTCTGTGAGTTTAGTCATTTTCTTCACAGAGGGCATGTCTTCATGAGACGCTACCTCACAGTGGTTACTTTGCAGTGGTGCCAGCGAACATCTTTTTAGTGACACTACTGTGCAGTAGCCTAATAATGCTGTGCAGTAGCATATTATCACTGCCAGTACTGAGACACATTACTGTGGAGTTTTATTGGGCTACTGCACAGTCAGTCTCATGTAGACATGCCCAGATATTTCTAAATAAACCGTCTAAACCTATCACACGGCTAGGTTAGTGCAGCCTATCTAAATAAGATATATGGTAGTGTCCATTGCATTGTCTCCCTCAGTACTGACCCTTTTTTCAAGTCATGGTGAGCCACTATTTTGATACATTTCAACTTCCGCTTCACTCGCACAGCCAAGCTCTGTGCCTTTCTTCCCCATTTCCAATTATTCCTGTTTCTTCACTAGTGTTAAATGTCCAGCAGACATCACCAAACAGGGCTGCAAACAGTTCAACCAGTATTCCTCTGTTGCCTCCTCTCTTACCCTGTTACCTGTGATTAGCGTGGCCCCACACTTCAGATTGTTTCAATGGAACCAGACCAGATTGTCCTGCAACTCATCTGCATGTAAATTATTAGAGGGTCTCTGAACTTATGACAAGAACACCTGGTTCCAGTCATGAGTTGAGGGCCAGTTAGCACATGAATCCTTTGTTGAAAGGTATCTGGAGTACACGCACATACTGAGCAGTGCTGAGCTATAGCATCACTGTGGCTTGAAACTCTGTTGGGGCCCAGCCTGATTAAGTATATGGTAAAAAATGAGCCTTTTGGCTTTGGACTAATATCATGCATAGTTTGTACTCTATATAAAGAAGGTAGGTACAAAGGTGCTGCTTAAAAATATGTGGACTAAAGCTTGCATCAATCGGGGGGGGGGGGGAAATAAAACATTTCAGTTCATCCATCAGTGTTTTCAAATTTGCTCCTCGTTTCTATATGCTCAAGGAGAACAGAATGTTACAGTAAGGAAGTGGGGAAGGAGCTGCAGGGGAAAGAAGTTGGGGCGGTAGAGGGCAAGGGGGCCACTTGGTCCTCCCCTCCCCCAGATTTTTTTCCTTGCTGTAGTGGGACAAAATCAAGGCAAACCTCTACTAATTAGATCTTATACCTGGAAAACTATAACACATTTATATGTTTTCCATACATAGTATCTAATTATTGGGGGGTAATCCTATCTTCTGGGTTGTCTTATGTCCAAGTAGATAGGGTAATTATTGGGGTAGCTCCTTACTGTGCATAATGTACAAAGTTTTTTCTTAACTGCTGCTAAACCGATTGCTCCTAGATGTGCAAGAAATTGTGGGAGATTACTAGTGTGGGTTCAAGAAAGATCAACTTGTGTTCAGATGTTTTCAATGAGGTTATTGCTAGAAAATAAATAGGAAGTTGCAAAAGACATGCACCAGGTTTTATATAGACTTCATCAAGCTCATAATAGTATTAGAAGAGAGTCACTGTGGTCAATCATGGTGGGGTTTGGAATTGAAGAGTCAAGGAGTTATGTGAGAATTGAGGTAATACTCTCGGACCTGATGGGAATCAATAGTGGTCTCAAACAAGGGGTGTGGGGTCACTGATGCTTTTCAGCTTGATGGTTAAGAAGGTTTTAAGAGCTGCTGAAGAAGAAAAAAAGGGTCTGCATCTGAACAGATTGCACCAGGTATTTGCATATCCAGGTGATACCTGCCTAATAGGAGAAAAAATGGAAATAGTAGAAAAGAATAGAGAAATCATAGTCAAATAAGATGTGTTTGCTGTCAGTGTCAGCAAGACTAAATAGGTTATCATATCCATAAATAAATCTCAAGGTCACAGGAAGGTAAGGATAGGGAATGAAAATAGGGAGAAGGTAGAAAAATTTAAATATTTAGGGACAGTAATAACTAGGGAAAATCAAATAATTGAAGAAATCAAGGCAAAAACAATGCTAATATGTGACTTGAGCGTGGAGAAAACAGTTGCATCAAGGAAAATGTCAAGGAACCTTAAAATCTAGCTTTTTAAAACAATTGTTCAACCTAGCTTTTTTTAATACAAATGGGAATCCTGGAGGCTAACAAAGGCAATTGGAAACAGGCTGCCAGTATTTGAAAACAAAGTGCTAAGGAAAATATTTGGTACAGTTTAAGAAAATGGAATATGGAGGAGAAGACATAATCAAGAGCTTGTGGACATCTTGCGCAGGCTTTAGTTAAGGTGGCTATAGGCCCTTAAGGCCTGTGAGATTAGAGAGAGAGAGAAAATATAGTTTTGCTATGAATTCTATTAAATAATAAATCTCAAATATAGATACATGTTTTGGTTTTAAGTTCAGTTTTCAAGTCAGTGAAATTTATTCAGTGAATATAGGGGCATTTGAATTAAACACGGAGTGTCATGAAGTTTTATTTTATGAATTTTTATAAAACATTTTACAAATGACTGTCAAATTTCAGATGAAAAAAAATGTTTATTTTGTAATGTCCCCCACTTCTTCTCCAGCTGTTACAACATCTAAATGGGAATTATTTGACCAGCATGAAGAATCAGAAGAGGAAGAAAATCAAATGTGAGTGTGTGTGGTGTGAGTATATGTATATATGGCACCTGACTTCCCTTTGGATTAAACCAGGAAGGTTGAGAGGGGGACGTTGGTGTGTGGGCAGCTTAGTCTCTCCATATACACTGCCCAGGCTTTTGTGCCTGGGAGAGGTTACTCCAGCTTGCTTTCTCTCTCAAACTAGGATTATGTTCAGCGAGCTCATGTCTCACTTGGTGTAATCTTGTTGTGTTGCGAGACAGTAGTAGTAGGCATCCATCTATTTCTACTAGATTTTCTAGTTTGACAGTCTTTTTTTCTGAAAAGTAAGAGGTAAAATTGATGCTCTTGAAATATATTAAATGCTATCTTGGAAAATATTTTTGATCAGTTTATATCCAAAAACCAGTAAGAAATCCTTAGCTCTGACTTAAATTTCTCCAGTGCAGTTTTAGTTATACGTTAGATCTAATGAACAGTTATGGATGACTGAAAAACTAGCAGTGTGTTCCTTTAAGTTTTAAAGATCTACTTGTGAGATTGAGTTTTGGGATTGAAAAATACCAGTTTTCTTTATGAAAGAGTAGCTATTGGCTCTTCACTTAAAATATTTTTGTTTATGTAAAGAGTAGAGATGATGTCATCTCCAGACTTCTTTGAAAGTAGACTCTAGCTTCCTGTAACTTTGATATCAAACTGTAGTTCTATTCTGTGGTTTTAATGGAGAAACAGATCCCAGAATATAGAATGGTTAAACATGAGAATTTCAGACTCTTTGTTTTATGCCATATGAAGGAAGAAAAACTGAAAGATGACACAATACAAAAAGCTGTAACTTTTTTTTGTACCTCAGCTACTTAAATCAACTACTCTTCTGTTCTAGATATATAGAGTCCTTCTAATGCTTAGCCAGTGTATATGGCATGATTAATCCCAAATTTAACATGTTATTTTCTTCTTTAAATTATTCATGGACTTTTTATTGATCTAGAATGCCAATACTGGGTTTGCTTCTATATTATCATATAATCATTCTACATTATTTCATTGGTACATCCATAAAAGCTTGTACCTTCCCATATTCTCACAAGATACATAATCAGGTACTAGGGGTTTAAGTTGTAGCCGTGTTGGTCTAAGGACATAGGCAGACAAGGTTCCTTGGGTGAATTTGATATCTTTTATTAGACCAATCCAAATAGTTGGAGAATAGTTATTAAGCAAGCTTTTGAGTTCAAAAACCCTTCATCAGGCTAAGGAAGTTTCAGCAGTTGGTGTGTGCTCTTCCTGGATGGAATGACAAGTAAACAAGCCAGGGGCTGGGCTGGGGAATCAGTTGCTCATCAGGTACCTGCATTTAATCCACATTCCATTACTTCTGTGTCAGGATGTGAGCAAAATCACTGCTTAGATAAATGTGGAGGTATTTTATAATTTGTAAATAAATTTTAAAACAGTTTTTTGCATGCTAAAAGCTAGTTGTTTCTCAAGCTCATTTCTGAAGTCTGTATCCTTGTGGTGGAAGTTTCACACTCGTTTCAGTAACGTGGCTGTTTATTTTCCTTGAGCTTGAGAAAATACTGAGCATGTACAAAATTGGCTTACAGTTTAAAATTATTTTCAACAGTCATTTAAAACCCTTTATCCTTACAAATGATATTCAGTTCCTTTGGAAAAAGCCACTTCAGTTACGTATGTGACAATTTAAACTCTGAAAATAAGGAAAACATGGAAGTACAGAGATCAGAGAGGATTTTAAGTCGTAGACCTTTTCAGCAGCATTTACCAGCTTCTAATTTGGCTAGTTGTTTTCTGTAGCAGTGTTGTCAGTTGCAGTTTTTTTGGAAGTTATATTTCATATCTTATTTATGTTAAGTAGTAAGTATCAAATACTACTTCGGCTCTGAGATTGTTGCATGACAAACCTATGTTCCTCAATCTGAAGATTTGCTTTTCTACTTTGAATCAAAAGAACAGCAAGTAACATTTTCACAGATGTACTTGTATGGATATTAATAGATCTTACTCAGTTTTTGTCTTTTGATCTTTAAGTAGTTTTGAGAGCATGGGTATTAATGTGTGCAACAACTGAGTTTTCATTTTATGTTGAGATGCAGCACTCTAGTGGCTGTTAAGGGAATATCACTCTAAATTGATATCTCTAGGTCAGTTCCTAGTTAAAACAGAATCTTTTGTTGGGTTATAGACTTAATTACATTTGAAGAAGCAAAATTATATTGTTTAAAATCATTATTGAGTAACACGTTAGCTTCATTATGCAAAATATGGACTCCAACTGAAAACATAGAGTTCTTGAAAGGGTTTGAGATGTATTTAGATGAGAAGTGAGAATTATCTGAAGCATAAAAAATCATGCTCCATAAGAAAGGCAGAAAATTAGGATAGTTTGACACCATATGCTGTAAATAATGAAGTAACACATTCAGGTTTTTGTACATCAGTTGACATTATGTAGAGATCACTTAAAAAAAAAACTCTTAAAAGACTGTCACACAGACGTAAGTAAGACTTGTAACATTTAAAAGCATTGTTAGCTAAGTGTATTTTTCACTTTTGCCCTTAAAGTCAAGAAGAGGAAAGTGAAGATGAGGAGGATACTCAGAGTTCAAAATCAGAAGAACAGCATATGTACTCCAATCCCATCAAAGAAGAAATGCCTGAATCCAAGTCATCAATCAAATACTCTGAAATGAGTGAAGAAAAGCGTGCCAAGCTCCGAGAGATTGAGGTCAGTATGTTTAAAGAAAACAGTAGTGTAGAACAGGCAACTTTATATTTTGAATGAAAGTGTTGTAGTCCTGCATTATGGTTTCTGTTAATTCAGTGTTATTGTATTGCACTTGAGTATAGTAGGAATATTTACCCACAAAAAAGAAAATGAAGAACTGGGGTAGAGTCACCTATTAAGTGACAACCTGACTTTCAACTCTGTTTACTTTCTACACTTCTGCTTCAGTTTTTCTTTGCATCCTTCTGTATAATTCCTTGCTTCTGACAAATTGAAATGTCTCTTAGGCCTTTCAAGTCCCTTTGTGGTATTTTCTCTAAGTTGTTCATCTGAGAGGCCTTATTTTTTGGTTTAACGTCATAGACAGGATGATAGCACTAGAAGCCATTGCTTTAAATATCAGGGCCACCAAGCCGGGTGCTCTGGAAGTGGTATCAGAGAGGCAGTTTAACCAAAGCTATCAATTTAGCATATAGCAATCCATTTTAGTGTATTTAGTGTATATTGTTCCCCTTTTCTGCTCTTACCAGCTGCTCAAGCAACTCTGTTAAGCTCAAGGAGCACAGATTTTCAACCTTCTCTTTCTTTCTACTAACCTACAGATGAGTAGAAGTAGATCTAAAAGCCCCTGTTCATCCAACAAATGTAGGCTTTTCCTCATAGGGTACTATACAGAACTACGGAGACAGGCTTAAAAGTTGCAGTTTTCTCTAAATTGTTTTCTATTCAAAGCTTGGCAAATAGTCTACAAGCTGACTTATAGTGCACTGTATCAGTAAATGAAAATGGTATTACAAGGCTGCTAAGTTAGTTATTACAGATTCAGCATCTTTTGGTAGTAAAGCATTGTTTTGATTAATATAGTGTACATCAAATTTTAATCGCTTGTACAATAATTACTGTCAATGCATTTCTTATATAAAAGCAATGTATAGTCAATACTCAAAGCGAACGAAAAATATTTTAAGAATGGTAGTTCTTAGTTTTTCCAGATGTACTTTGATATACACTGTTTAACGACTCAGGTTGTAAAAATTAAGCCATAAGTGGAAATTATACCCTTCTTGCTTAGCCCAGCAGTTTGAAAGTTAACATGGTAAAAAGCCGTTCATATGCATGAAATATAAATTATTTGA